CAACACAGACAGCATCGTCAGAAGGAAAGTTGATAAAATAAATTACAAATTTTGTATTGTTCGATACATATGCGTACCGAACCGAAAGCACTGTATCGAACGGTTCAATATCGATACGAATATCGTTGCACCCCTAATATATATATTAAAATACATCATTGTAAGACAAGGATGTGTGTTTTATCATGGGGATTCTAGCTGGGCCTACCCTAGTTAGCTAAAAGCAACAGAAAAATGGATAGCGAAGAGTAAAATTTAAACGGGTAGATAACTGATAATAACAGGTTGAAGGATGTAGCCTGTGAGGAACCAGCTATGAAGGACAGTATCGATGCCGTCTTGTTCCAGTAGCCCACTTCTCATCAGGGTGTCCTGGTTCCTCAACACCCGACATGGACCTTGTTAATCCGGGTAGGCTTGATTTAGTATAGGGGTTCTAGCTTAGGACCCTTACTGGATAGAGAAACCCGGGGCAGGAATCGGAGCCCTAGGTGCAGTGACTCCCAAGCTAGGTGAGTAGCTTTAGCAGATCCCAGGAACAACATCCAAGATCTCTGTCCAGAAGAACACAGTCCTAGGAACAGCTAAGATACAGCACAGGACCCTCAAGCTCCCAGGCCTCTGGTAGAGGACCTGAGCTTGAAAGATTGATGGCCCGCAGGGGCAAGAGGGGAATTTATATATACTTTTATAGTTTACAATGTATCGCAAAACAGTTTCTTTTGGTTTAAGAATTCAGTCTCCAGCACAACAGTATCTGATGGATGTTTGTACAATGCCAATGTTTTGTTTTGTTTTTACTGGTTTTAGCTTAAAGAAGGCCATTGATATTAAGCTCCCTTTTATAATTACATCTTAATTACAGTCCATTAAAAGACAATGGAATCACACTCATGATCTATTAACTTAAGGGATAATGTCAATTTAAGAGACTGCTACATAAATTTCTAATGTAGAAAATGCCAGTGCATTATGAAACCCACTGTATCAAAAGATTTTTACAGAATTATAAGTACAGGTAGGACAAGCTATTGTATATTAATTACTGGTTGACTGAACAACCTCCTTCCTGCAGTTCTGTGTATTGCATATCTCACTATAGAAAAATGTATGTGCAAATTTGTTTGCACATACCCTTTGTGTGTTAAATAGGCTTGTATTCCATTCATACCTGGTAATACCTGTTTAGTAGTGACGAGGTAAAAGGGTTAAAGGTGCAAACAGCTTTGCACAGAAACTTGTGCGAGGAACTTTAAAAAAAAAGCACGGAAAGTCCTCCAACCAAGTACTTTTATGGAAATAAATGCAGATGGAAATGTGGTTGCTTGATCATTTCACAAATGCCCAGATATCTGGGTATGCTATTTGCTCATTTCGAAATGCCTTGCCCATGATGACTGGCCTATAAGAAAGTAACTGTAACAAAAGCAAAGCTCTCATAATATGGCCCTTTCACTACTGTTATGGATGGCAACTGATTAAATGATCTGGTGTTTGGTAGAACTTGCTTATCTGGTTGGTAATACACGTGACCATATTACTTCTTAGCAGTACTATATTAAGGCAAGTGCACACTGACAGAGAGACGGTTCTTTGTGAAAGAGGATAAATTTCATCCTGTGGTAAGATTATCTTTGCATGAACGTCTTGAGGTTTGCTTCAGCTTCTTTAATTCAGCAAATCCCTTTATATTATATGTTTATCCTTAGCCTTTTACTAACAGTGTCAGCTTTTTCTTACCTTATCTTGCCCTTCTTTAAACTCCAGCGACACTGAGTTTGACAAAACTATTATGTTGCTGCATAAAAGATCTTTTACAACTAGATTAGAAGTTGGTACAAGGTCTGAGGACTGTGCAAAAAACAGTAAAAATGGACAAAAATTATTATTCGTAGCATATCTGGCACAAAATGAAATCCAGCCAATGCAATAATCTCCATAATACAGATCTACAGATTCATTCAGTTGAAAAGTAAGTGATTTAACTCTTAACCCCCAGGAGCAGGAGAGTGCCCAGGTATCTGAGCATCGCTGTGCCCAACTGGAGAAGGCAAGGCGTGAGCTGGAGCAGCAGCTGGAGGAGGAGGAGGTCTGCTCAGCCCAGCTGGCCCTTCACAGAGACAGGCTGGAGGCCGAGTGCAGCAGCCTCAGACGAGACCTGGAAGAGCTGGAGAGCGCTCTGACTGTAGCTGAAGAGGATAAACAGGTAGGGCATTTTTGGATCTTCGTGATATGATAATCTCTGGAACAAGGATTTTTGCGCAGAAAGAGAAGGACTGATTTGTAATATGGAAGGAGCATTTAGGAAGACAACAGATTGGCAGATGAAGGTACAGTTGTCATCCAGCTCTTTAACTCAAAACAAGCAGTAGCCAGGCAAGGAAACTAACAGACTGCAAGAAGCACTGAAGACAGTGGATTTTGGCAAGTGGGAGGTGGATGGCTGGTGGTACACTTAATATGGTAACAGGCTGACTAAGTTAGACAGGTTAGCCAATCATAAAAGTAACAAAGTGAGGAAATAATATTGCCAGAAATGCACAAAGTCACTGATTACTAAATAAAGTATGGTATAACTTCAAACCATGACAAGGTTATAGTTTCAAAAAGTAACACTAGGGCAGGGGTGGGCAATCTCAGTCCACGAGGGCCGGTGTCCCTGCAGGTTTTAGATCTCACCCTGGGTCAACACACCTGAATCACATGATTAGTTCGTTACCAGGCCTCTGGAGAACTTCAGAACATCTAATTTAGCCATTTAAATCAGCTGTGTTGGTTCGAGGACACATCTAAAACCTGCAGGGACACCGGCCCTCGTGGACTGAGATTGCCCACCCCTGCACTAGGGCCATATGTCTGTCTGTGTAGGATCTCAGTTGTCCAGGTCATGGTAGTCTCAGGAGCTGGAAAAGTCTGGTTTTAAGAACTGAAGAAGCCTCTTGGACTCTAAAAAGTGCAGTCGCCTTCTTTTCAAATACAAGGACCATCACTTTTCCAAAATATTAAATCTGAATGTAATTTGTTTGAAGTAATTAGCATTAAGTAGCATAGTGTTGACTGGTAGAACATTGAGCACCAGTACTGAAGAACCAGTCTGAAAAATAAAAACCAGAAAGCATAAAAAATGGAACTGAAACCCAAACAATGCGCATGGGTTCTGTTTTCAGTGAACATTTTTTCATCCATTATTATCTGTTTTAGAGAGATTCAGACATCTGTTCAATCCCTGACTCTGAACGGTTATGAAATGTTGATCATATTGTAGTTTGTCACAGTATTACCTGTTTCTATCCAGATCTCAGGTAAAACATCTTCCCACCAAGAGTGCTTGCACTCTTTTAGTTTTTTTTGTTTTTCCACGCTTTGCAGAAGCACGGTCTTCTCTGTGCAGAAACTAACAAGAAAGGGCTGTTCTGACACCTCCGTTACAGCCCCTGCCCCCCAAACCCTTTTATCTATTTCACTGAGCTGTATTAAAGGATTAGGATCCTATCTTTGTTCAGGAATGCTGCAAAAATGTGTTGCGCTCACAACACTGTGCGTGACAGTGAATTAAGATTTCTCTGGGTAGCAAAGCAGTGCTGAGTTGGAAATTTACTCTGAACAATTTGATCTGCTCCATGATGTTATAAACTTGATCCTCTAGTTATATGATGATTTTTTTTTGCTGAGTGGCCTCCCGTGTGGCAAAGATACAGTAAGAGGGAAATGTCAGGGGGCTCAGAGAAGAGAACAAGACCAGACTGGTTTGATGGCGCAAAGCTTTGAAAAAGAAAATGATGAGACCTCCTCTGATGCCACAATAATCTTTTAGCTGGACAAGATGTGAGAAGAAAGTTTTGACTCACCTGTTCACTCTGAAATTTGTTGAAAAACATGTTAGTGTCCACGTACCTCAGTCTGCTGCCTCGCCTTGTTTTGCACATTTTTAACTCTCACCTTTCTCTCTAAGAGAAGAGAAAGCTTTGATGTCTACTAAGAGAGATCGTGACATCTGTTTCTGTCATGATAGGAGACAATTGTTTGATGGTGTGGCTGCAGTCACAGGCTACAGACTCAAACTGCTGTATTCACAAGCAATCATGGTTACATGCCCAAGCAAACAGCGGTAGCTACAGAGGGAGGGGTTTTAGCCGAGTTAGATAAGAACAAAATCTATGTATAGATAGTTTAGCTTGGTCATTTTTTGAATGAATAAAATATTATCTGATGTACAAAGTGGCAGATGTTAAAAATTGCTATTAAGTTACAACCTGTGTCTGTTTTCATAGCTGTCGCACAGTGAGGTAAGGACGCTGTCAGAGCAGCTTTTTCAGAGGGACGAGGTGGTGCAGAAGCTGCAGAAGGAAAAGGAACATCTGGTGGAGCTCAGCCAGGTATGCTGTTAAGTGTATGATACTGATATACATACATACCTGGGCTAATGTCTATTAATAGCTAAGCTCCATAAAAACTAGAGTTTACATTTTCCATAATGCAAGTAAACTGCTTTTCTTTTTTTGGCCTCATAAATGCCCTCATGCCTAATATCTCTCCAAATCCACTCCTTTCATTTATAACATAGATTGGAAATCACAGCCAAGCAGAGACAAGGTTTATTTTGGTCATTTTTAGAGGACTTTATGGGTAAAGATGGATACCTTAACCCGTTGCAACACTGTTAATTTCCCAAAACTGATAAACTCCTCCAAAGCAACAGGGTTAGGGTTTGCACTATGCAACTGTTTTCACCCACTGAGTTGTATGAGAGATTAAAGGTGCTCTATGAAGGTTTCTTATTGCCCTAGAAGACATGTTTACATTCACTTTTGTTTACTTTGGCGTGTGGTTAGTGGCTCGGCTGCAGGGGAGGGGTGGAGCAGCGGGTTCAGGGTGCGGTTGCAGGGGAGGCTGACACACACCTGAGCTCCATCATCTTGTCATGGATCCCCAGTAAAAGATGTGCTGGGACATGAGGTGGGAGGTGTGTGTGCTACAAGCAGGGCAGCTGAAAAGTTGACCAGTGAAAAACACAGAGCAAATAAAAACGTGTGCGACTGCAAACGCTGTTGGTGTCAGGGCAGTTATTTCCACATTTACCAACTCTGATTATGTGTTCCTTTATTTTAGAAACTGCGTCGGACATCATAAAACATTAACAAGATTGTTTAAAAAATATATATATTGTCTGCAGCTTAGATCACTGAAAATGACGACTCAACACCTCTTGTGTTCAGAAAGTGGTTAGGGTAGTCAGAAGGTAGTATGATATAAGATATTTTAATTTTCACCATTAATGAAAATCTTCCTACCAACCAAACATTCCTCTTGGTCATATTATGATTCTGTCATATAACAAACTTGTGATATTTTCCATTTTATCTTCATCATATACTCAGTAATTATCCCAGATATCCCAGAATACCTGAGTATTGGTAACACACAATAAATTACCACGTAAATTAACATCAACAGAAGCACACACAAGAAGTACAGCACTGTTCTTCAATCTTGGTCATATACGTGAGTCACCTGCACAGAAGGTCCTGACTTGCCTCTGTAATCTTTACGTGTACAACACACGGACATAGATATCTAAATAAGTCACAGACTGATAAAATCCTAGAATTTCCCACCAAATTAGAGAGCAAATTTTGTGGGTGGACTGTACTACACAGCAAGCAATATTATTTGTCAGGTAATTACGTTAAAATATTAAAAGATGTACCAACAGGACAAACATGTTTAACCAATCCAATTCATGTCCACAAAGTCTAGTTCACTAGTGGAAATCAAGCCTAGCCAACAGCATTTGGTTAATATTAATCCAGGCAGCCACGCCCCAGACTTTAAGTCTTAACAAAATGCAAACAGATTTCATTAACCGTGGAGCTATTTTATTAGAGATTAAAAATATTATTTGTACTAGGCTGTAAACATGTTATTCTTATGACTTGTTGGAAATCAATGGAGGTGATTCACTTTTACAGCCAGCCTGAAGTGGCCATTACAGGCACATAAGCGTTTGCTCCTTTTTTCAGCCCATTCCCTATAACAGACCATAAATTTGTACATGAATAGATTATCTTTTGCACTTGAAGCAAATGTTCTAATCTCAAAGTATGCATGTGCACACTTTAAAAAATATCTGTTTGCATTTTATTGGAAAACATTTAAATTGTAAATTTAACTCTTCCGTTCCCAAAAGCATACAGGGACGCTCCACTGGCTGTTTGACTCAGAATAAAACATGAGTTTAGGAAAAGGGAACCATATGGCCTGTGGACAGAAGTGGCACTCGTGATAAATGTGCTCTTCACCAGACACAGACCAGTCTCCTAGAAAAAAGAGAGAGATCTGAAGAATTCGCAGCCCTCAACAACCTCATCTTCCTTATGACAGCTATAAGAGGCCCTGTTTGCTAATTCCTCCCAGATGGTTCAACCAGTAGTAGCAGTCTTCTTCATTGTGTAATCCATGTGGACAATTTAGCATTAGTCCTCATTATGTTCCTACTGTTTGCTGAACATGTCTCAGATTATGGATTTGGCCTGGAATACAAGGACACGCCTGTGGGGGGAAAAATTTAACACAAAGTGCACGCACTGCTGTTTGAGTGAGTTTAGTCTTCCTGTTTGATGCTTCGCTGCTTTTGCTCCCTGTTGATGAAAAGACAGATAAAAAACATCTCATCTATCAGATCAAACTGAAGATGACTTCTGACATTTTCATGGTTAAGCAAATAAATCATATTTTTCCAAAGTACAAATATGGCAGACAGATGGACATGAGACAGACATTTAAGGACACATGTGCAGTCCAGGCTCAGACATCTTTTATCACCCTCAACAGCAGGCCATTGAGGACCTGCAGAGTGAAGAGGAGAAAGTCAACCTGCTGACCAAAGAGAAAACCAAGTTGCAGATGCACACTGAAGATGTATGTACATATTTTTCAAATTGAACATATAGTTCATACCATATGCACTAGACAAATGTTTTTTTTCAATATTTATTCTGTAATTTCTGAAATTTGCAATGTGTTATAGCTCAGTGCGCTTTCAAATTAAAATGCAGGACTGTTCTGTCTAATTCCTCCCAAACGTGCTCACCTGGGTGTAATTGTAGGCTGTAGGGTGCTCTTCCATGATGTAAAGCTGGTTAATGTCTTTGAATGTTTTGAGTCATTGTCTTACTGCAGGATGAAGGCCTGGCCAACCACGTTGGCTTTTAAACTGCTAAAATTCCAACAGCTAGTCTATAATTTTGAACGTCTGTCATTTGTGTTAGATGGGAAACTATAAACTCACTGGAAAGTGTGTTAGGTAAATGTTGCTAGCACTGCGTTTAAGCCTTTTTTTAACCTTCAAAATTGCTCTCATGGTTCGTGGCACATGGTTGCTGCAGATTGGTCAGCTGAACATCCATGATGCAAATCTGCCACCGATTACTCAGGAACTCAGGAGATCAAAGTGTGCAGAGAAAAGATACACGACAACCACCAACCTGAACTGTTGATACAAAGCAGGATGAACCCATCCTTTCCTGTTGTTTGTGACACATTCAGACCTTCCCATCCAAATGTATCGGCAGAAGCCAAGTAGTGTTATTTTATAAAATCTATAATATGTTAATAACTGATAAAACAATCTCTGATTTTATGAGACTAGCTAGAGCTTTAACTGTAGACTCCATGATAACTTATTTTAAATATAAGGTCAGTGCCATTACACTGGTGTAACATTTGCATCCAACAGAAACACACATGTTGTACACATTAAAAGTAATAATAAGCTTATGAACCAACTATTCAACAGCAAAGTGAGGAATGGAAACTCATGGTGATTTAACTTAATTGTAACCCTGTTAGCCAATACAGCTTGGCAAAAATAGGGAAACACTGAAACATGTAATTTCACACATAAAAATTGTCAAATATAATAAATGGTGATTATAAAATATATTAAAAAGTGGCACAAAGCATTTCACTATTTGCAATTACAGTCAAGAAATATTGTTAAACCCTATTATTGAATCCGTCCTGTAACTTTCCTCATGCTCAGTTGGAGTACCAGCTGGAACAGGAGCGCCATCAGCGTGCTGAGCTAGAGAAGAGCAGGAGGAGGCTGGAGGGGGACAGCAGATCTTCGCAGGACAGTCTGGGAGAGATGGAGAAGATGAGGAATGGTCTGGAAGACCTCATTAAAAGGTCAGTCAAAGACGCGCTGCATGCTTATAGCAAACTTTTCAGAGTAGATGGAAAAAAAGCAGTCAGCCAAAGTACTGTTTGCTCCTGACACCAACAATTTGAGGCTAAAGCTACATTCTGTTAAATTCTGTTGGGAAATTTTGCAGAGATTTTCATAGTTTCACAGAGATCTTCAATGATCTTCCGACTTTTTTTCTAGTGTAACATTGAGGCTTGCATCTCAGGGGTCTGCTGAATCATCCTGCTAATTACTGAGTAGACTGTCTGTAAAGACTCTGTTGATTCCCAGAAGATAAATCCAAATGTCCTTGTTGATGCCCTTGTTTTATTGCTAGCATTACCAGAGGGTCAAAATGTTGGCTTTTATATCAAAATTGATTAACATAGACATTTAGACAATGAAAAATCCAAATAATTAACAGTTTTCTTAAAAACCAAAGTGAGACTGATATGTTTAACTGTTGTATTACTTAAGAAAATATGGTACAGATGTCCCAATTTCACCAGGACCTATAATTTTATTTCGGTCCACCGTCATGAAAAGATTTTGAATCAGTTTTCTTAATTTATGCTAATCAGCGTTAGCATATTTGTAATGCTCTGTGAGATTTTCTGTTTACTGTATCGGTTCCAAAATATTAAAAAGTTTGCAGTGTGCCTAATGGCTGAAGGTTTTTTTGTACTATAATACAGTTCTATATATTGTACTATAATACTGTGGTTGAAAATTATACAGGATATTGTTGTTATTTCCAGTTTGATCCTATTTGTAGTTTGTGGCATCACTACCTCATGGTCACAGTGGCTAAACATTGTGTGTCTGTCCTGTGGGTGGGGGGATAATAGTCATTCAGAATGTTTTGAGCTATACAATAAAGCATATTTGTTCAAAGAAGAAGACACACGGGTAGTATTTCAGGTCAAATTTCTAGCTTGAGAAGCCTGGAGACTCTTGGAAAACATTAGCTTTCCAAAAGTCATTTATAGCATTAGCAATTTTAAAGCTCCAGCCTATTAAAGTCAGTACAACAGATATTTTATTCTTTGAGACTGTCTATAAGGTTACATCAGTCAAAAGGTGGTTAAAGAAAGGACATAAACAGGGCACCATTATTAACATAAACATTTTCACAAACTGTGCATTTATCACAGCCATCATGATGGGTGGTAAACCCGTCTCTAAAACATTTATATCAGCCTATCTAAGCCAGAAAACATGGGGTGAATTTTTTCCCCCCATTTAGACTATATGCAAGTGACAACAAGTCTTATCTACTGTTGTCTTTTAATAGTCCGCTGAACTGGAACCTAAGCTGATCTGATCTACTATCCCAAGGGAGAGAGAGCCTGATGGACTTTGGAAAGTTTCTCACTCTTGTGTGCGTCTTATATCCTGAGGCAGCAGAGCTTGGACTCTATGAGACTACATTGTCCTTTTGCATCTCTTTTAAGGTGTATGTACCTCTAGGGATTCACTAAGATCCCAGCATGTTGTTATCTGCCCAGTGATATAAAAACAGATGTAATCATTCACTGTACCCTACCCTGCAGCAACAATCTACTGAAGGCAAAAGCCTCCTGTCAGAAAACAAAAGTACAGTGCGCACCTACAATATTGTCTCCGTAACAAAGTTAAAACTTGTTCTCTTTGGCACTAATAGTTGCGTGACCTTCTTGAACATTAACAAAGTGAGTGACTCACTTGTTGCTAAGATACTATGGTATTCAAACAGTACTTATTGTCAGAGGCTATTAAATCTGCCACTCAGTATAACTTTAGTCCAGTGAAGCGTCACAGACATGGTGTTGCGATGTTGTCAAAGCACATACATATACAGAGCCTCACGTGCACGCCTCACAAATGTGACCAGAAGGTCAGATGGAGCAACCTTTTCATGTGACTGATACTCCTTTGTATTTGCTGTTGATCATTGCGGCTTTTAAAGCACTATTTTTTGTGCCGTGTGAAACACATTAAAGAACATTGTTGTAATGTGTGTAATGTTTATATTTATCAGTAGTTCAGTTTTAGATGTCCAGCCCCAAAATCCCGCGGTACCATGATGCTGCCTATATTAGCTAGTCCGGGGGTTTTTAAATGCAAGAGAAACTGTAGGGTTTTGGGAAACAGTTTTTGTGTTTTCTGAGCAAAAAACTTCCTCTATGCTCATTAATTTCAATTATATATTCCTTTTCTCATTAAAGGAAGGAGCTGGAGATCAGCAGTACCAGCTCCAAACTAGAAGAAGAGGAGGCACTTAACTTTGGACTGCAGAGGAAGACCAAGGAGCTACAGGTAAGTTTGCATTTTGTTGTTTGTCTTCTGTCATTTAACACTAGCAGTCTTGTTTAACAATCGCATGGTGAGACCTAGCAGAAAGAAAAAAGAAATCACACACCCAAACAGGTGATATTAAATTTCACTTCAATTTTATTTACAGCGCCAAATCACAACAAAAGTCACCTCAAGGCGCTTTATATTGTAAGGTAGAGCCTACAATTATACATAGAGAGAAAAACCCAACAATCATATGACCCCCTATGAGCAAGCACTTTGGCGACAGTGGGAAGGAAAAACTCCCTTTTAACAGGAAGAAACATCTGGCAGAACCAGGCTCAGGGAGGGGCGGGGCCATCTGCTGCGACCTGTTGGGGTGAGAGAAGGAAGACAGGATAAAGACATGCTGTGGAAGAGAGACAGAGATTAATAACAAGTATGATTCAATGCAGAGAGGTCTATTAACACATAGTGAGTGAGAAAGGTGACTGAAGAAGAAACACTCAGTGCATCATGGGAATCCCCCAGCAGCCTATGCCTATTGCAGCATAACTCAGGGTCACCTGATCCAGATATAAAGTGGTAGTTATCCATAGAAATCTAAATCGTTTCCTGCACCAGGCTGTAAATATGCTTTTCAGTGTTGTAAGGTTGAGCATTTTAAAATGGGAGTCTAGTTGGACTGACTCATTCTGGAGTCTCAGTTTTTGGCACTTCTGCTTTGACCTCTCTGCGTGCTTACAGTTTAGTTCACTCAGATTCAAATAAACCAAGTTATCGTCATACTTGACTCTATGATATAGTATTATATAATATAACTGTTTGTGCTTTTTTTACATGACCAAGAAAAGCAGTCATGTCTTTGTTTGACCACTTAATGTTTTAGAAAGCAAAACAGTTCAAACAGATAAGTGTACAAATGTAAACCAGACTTTTGTGGCCCATGGCCTTACCCTTTGGTAATGATTTCTTGTTATCATCAATCATTTTTTAGCTATTTCCCAGAACAGGCTGAATGTGTCAGCTCAATGTGATGTTTCCACATTTGTTGCCAATGTCACTGACTCTGTCGCTCTTTCTGCTAGTAGCTGCAGCGCTGTTTACTGTCCATCACCTGTGGCTCACACACTTAAAAGCATCTGTTTACTCTTGCAAAAAGCTTTTTTCACTAATAAAATACTGGTAGCTAAGTTGACTGAGCTCACGCACAGCACTGCTAAAAGACATGTGGAGTCCTTCCTTATTGGTTTGATAGTCATCAGCCAGACAACGGGGCTGGTATGCTCCTTTCCTCTGCAGCCTTTAATTTCTGAAAATGTTCAAAGAGCTATAAAGAACTTTACGTGTCCTGTGTGCATATCGTGATGAAATTTGCTCAACACTGAGCTGGCTTATCAAGTTAGTCATTACTAATCAACACAGAAAAGGTCTTTTAGTTACCTTTATAATAGTAACTGTAATATTTAGTTGAAGTGGCTGTGGCTTTTGTAGACTGGTTTCTAAGTGGAGTTAAAAGCTGTTAAAACTGTTGTTTTACAAAGACAAACAGTGAGCCCAGCTGTAGGTTACAACACGGCAGAAAAAAGGCATTCCTGTCTTTTAGCAAAGCTGCTGGGCTCTGCTCTGTGATTGGAGCAGTCGCTTCAAGCTTCAAGCATGTCAGGAAATGGTTAGAACACAGTGGCTACATCAAAAATGAACTGGGTAGGTCAAGTTTATTATGATCTACCAGCATGCATTGACTTTTTGACTTCCAGGTGAATAATTGCAAAGCATTATTACTGTTATAGATATTATATATGGCAGTAGATATTTACTATCAGCTGACAGTGACTCAGGGTTCAGAATGTTTTTACATCCTCTCATCTAGGCAAAGTGGATTAAATGCTAAAAAAACACCTTAATGTGTCTTATCACTAAATTTCACTTGAAGTATCAAAATTAAAAATACTTAGTCTGTGAGAAAATGTTATTGCTATATGATTCAAGACGCTGTTTGTGAGTCTGGAGTTATGTGACCTGATTTCCCTGAGACAGGAGAATCTAGTGATGGTCTCCAGAGGTGGCAGCCAATGATTTTCTGGGCAGTGTTAATTACTCTTTGTACAGCCCTCCTGTTGTCACTCGTGACCCTGCCTACCACAACACCCAGCCAGTAGGAGAGGACGCTCTCCACTGAGGAACAATAGAAGGCCAGAGGCAGCTGGGACGGGGGCGCCGAGTCTAACTGATTGTTACCGGTTGGCGAGGAAATCTTTGATCCAGGACCAGGTGGCGAGGGGATGTGAAGGTGGTCCAGTCTTTTGCTGAGGATGTCTGGGATTATTTTGTTGAATGCTGAGCTGTAGTCCATGAAGAGCATCCTTACGTTGCCCTCTGTAAAGGGTGATGGTGATGGCATCCTCCTTGGACCGATTTGCTCTTTAAGGAAACTGGTAGGGGTCGAGGGAGGAGGGCAGACAGTGTCTGATGTGCTGAGGCACTATCTGTTTGAGACACTTCACGACTACAGACGTGAGGGAGAGATAAAGGATGATAAAGAGTGAAAACCGTAAATCCCATCCACACTGCATATGCACATGAAGACACAGCAAAGTCATTTGGAAGTTTTGATGCTTTACGAGAAACAAAGATTTGTCGTTTAACTTTCAAAATAGTATTTCTCAACAAAAGATGCTGCACCTCATTTGTCAGTCGATGACAGGAAAAGGACTGCAGAGTTATCACACTGTAAACTTCTTTGGAAGTAAATCTTTCTCACTGCAGACATTTGGGCTTGTTACAGCAGGAGAAACACAGGTGCAGCTTGTAAGATTATCGATGGATTTAAATATTCCAGTAAAACATGCCAGCCGACATACCAGTGCATCGTCAGGGAAACACCTGAATGCAAGTTGTAATTAATGGGGTTAGCTACACATTGTGTTTATTAAGTCAGCATGGGATAGTTCAATTGTGGAAATGTTTTTTAAACTTCTTTTCGAAATCTTTGCATGTAAGGTCAAAAGTAGCATCACTAACTGGTAATACTTTCAAAGTGTTGTTGAGTTGAGAGTGAGCTTGTTCATTGTTCCGTCTGAGCAACTATAGGAAGTACAAAACCAAAACTAACTATTTCACTGCATGCTAAACTGTGAGACGAAATATTCCTTCTGTTTATGTTAGGTTGTCTTGTGAAAATGTTGTTTAGTGATTGCTGCAGAAATTAGTCCTAAAACCACAAAATAAATTGGCCCTTTTTTAAATTCCAGCATTCCTTGTCCCAGAATCAAGGTTTGTTGAATGGGTTTTGATTTAGAGGCTTTAAATAATATGGTCTGTAGTTAAGACAAGCTTTACATATTTTGTTCTATAGGAACAAAAGCAAAAACTCTGCTTAATATGTTTATACAGAAATGGAAAAAATATCAAATGACCACCTATCATCCTTGTTCTGTAGCTCCATACAAGATCTTGCCCCTTATGAGGTGGACAGTTATGATAAAGGTGGTGAATTGGCACTAAACTACATGGGAGGAGTTGTTAATAATAGGAAGACAGTTGGAACTGTAGTCACCATAAACATCATTAATAACAGGCTACATCATAATAGGTTGAAATCTTGCAGCACCTGCAAAATCCCACTCCTCAAGAACGCACATGTACAAGAGCATCCTGAGTTTGTCAGTGAACATCTAAAGGATTCTGGGCCTGGGAGAAGGTGCTATAGACAGATAAATACTAAATCAAGGTCTTTGGCATCAACTCAACCCACTGTGTTTGGAGGAAGAGATAATATGACCCAAAGAACATCATCCAAATATGTCAAGCATGGAATTGGAAATATTATGCTTTGGGGATGTTTTTCTGCTAGTGTAAAGGACGACTTCACCGCAGTGAGGGGCCAATGAAAGCGGCCTTTTCTCAGCCAGAAAACCGAAGATGTGTCGTGTATGATCTTCCAGACCCAAATGACCCAAAACATACCCTGATGATGACGTTGGAGTAGCCTAACCTGTCTCTGACCTTAAGGATCACTTCTTACCTAAAAACTTTAAGCGAATGCGTATATTTGAACCTGTATATATACTTCTGACACTGTGTGGATAGGAGAAAATTCAACATAAATTCAAACCGGTGCATCCAGTCATTGCATGTCTAATGCTGGAAAAAGAACAGTACAAATAAATGATGAAGTGTACATCACATCTTTTGTACTAGATTACTGCTGTGTATTGGCTAGGCATGATAAAGTTAGCAGCTTATCATAGGCTTGGCTTATGTGTCTTTGGGTTTAGAAAAAACAGCAACATTTTTCAGTATTCAGTATTACTTTCAGCAGAGTTCAACATCTGGAGAGATGCAAAGTTTCATGGAGCTTTCAGTGACTGTGACCGGTATATGGACTAAAACCACAGCGGCCTTTGAGTGCAACAAAAAAGTGCCACCTAGCTGAACCTCAAATTTCAACAAAGCTAAAGGAAAAAGCCATCCCAGTTATTAACGAGTAATCTTTGGTGAGGCAGTGGAAAATCACCACAGCAGTGAGTGTATGCTGTACCACTAAAGACGGTGCAATTTAACTAACCATCTTTAGGATTGCAGGCACTGCAGAAGCAAGGGTAGAATAGCTATTTATTGTATGCATTATATTCTCTGCCAATCTGGGAAGTATATACTAATGTTTTTCTGCTGAATCTTTCAATGGCATGCAGATAAAATCAAACAAGTCTGAGAGCTTTTATCTGTGTCACTGGTGCATGTTGCAGATAATGTGTTTTGTCTGTGTCTGTCGTTGAGTTCAGAGAGAGAGGGAGTGTTATGGGTTCAGGTGGTGCTTCTCTGTTCTGCCAGTGCCTCTGGGAGCCTGATGTTTCCTCCAGAGTTTGTCAGTAGTGAAAATAAAGAGCTCCTTTGTATCTAATTTGAGGAGTGAAAGACAATCCATGTGTCTTTGAGGGTGCACATGTTTTCGCATTTACTGTAGCTTTGGCATCCTCTCACAATGAAGCTATTATATGTAAACTCCTCCTACTGATGAAGATGCAGGTGGACAGGCCAGCCAGCTGGACATCACCCACTGAGGTCTTTCCTTTGACGTAAAGGTTGCACGAATATGTCCACGCAAGCTGCTGCAGAATCAAAGAGACCGCTTTGTCTGTCGCCGATGATGATGCCGCCTCTCCCTCTGTAGTATGCTGTAATTCAAAGCAGTTGGCCTAAAGAGAAAGCAGCCATGCAGCCTTGATTTCTTACAGCAAATGGTTTTATTTAGGGTTGTAAAACAGTTTACACTCAGTCACAATCTGAGGGTTATCACAATCTGTGAAGATAAAGCTCATTTTGTTTTTTTGTTTGGTCTGTAGCAGATGTTTTGCTGAAGGTGTTAGATCAGATTGGGCCACAGCGGTGATGAGAGTCTCGTATCCAGATTACGTCATTCAAGCTTTCTATTGTCCTCTCCCTTATAGCTACATATGCTTGTCTTGTGTATAATATGGGATCATGTGCTTTTGTGTCATTTGAAACATAAAGCATAGAATTAATCTTAGTTTAAACTGATAATACAGTCACAATACCATATTTTGTTTGTAGACTGATCACTACTGGAAAAACTTTTTTTTCTTGTTTTTCACCCCTAAAAACACGAGCTGTGTGTACTAAGAGTCATCATATTGCTAAGAGGTGTTTCTCAGACAAATGTTCTGACAAATGAGCACCTGTGGTGAACAAGTCTTACTTCATACTTAGTACCAATAATTTCATCTATATAAATATAAAAAAACAGTTGGGGCCATGTCTGTGGAAGCTGTCAGCAACAAAAACTTTACATCTGGAGTCTGTAGGTGGCCATCTGGTGGCATTTAAAACAACAAAGCATGCAGATTCCTGCACCATTGCCGTGATCTGAATTATGCTAGTGTGTGCGAACAGTATAGATGCAGGGAAGGCCTCCCAGTTGTTCAGCTGGGGGGGGTCTCACAGGATATCACTGCCCACACTGCTGACCATCCCCTCTGACACAAGCATGGAGACATCTGCACTGAGGCCACATCTGATTGCAATTTATAGACAATTATTATGGTTTCAGATTGAAGAGGGGAAAAAGAAAACCCTAAGCACAAGCAATTATGGAGATCAAACCCTGCAACCATTCTCAGCAACAACGGCCTAATTCTGTTGTTTCCAGCTCACTGCTTCAAGACTAGAGACATCTTTGTGGGTTCATTTAGAATCAGTGTCTAAATTCTTCCTGCTACACATAAGTGGCCAGAATTACCCATGTAGCCTGGCTCAGACTTCTGTGTTAAGAAGAGTGTTATCTTGGTGCACGATGTGTTTTTTACAATTGTATTAGAGCCACAATGTTTACTTTGAGGGTGGTTTGAGGCTCTGGAAAAGAGGAATTTAACAAGAAACATATTTGAGTGGGGAACTGTCAGTGAGAGAAAAAGAGGCTGTGCATGCATAAGGGGGTGTGGACAGTAAAGTGCCGGAGGGGATCGACAGTGAAGGTATGTGTGTGTGTGTGTGTGTTTGTGTGTGTGCGCACGTGCGTGTCTCAGTGTGTGGGACACTCAGTCAGTCATTCAGTTGGGCTGCTGCTGCCTCACGATGGCTGTTCTCTCTGCAGAGGCGCTCCGCTGGCACGTGAGTTTTTATTTCTGTGTTTCTGTTTAAACGTATCAAAAATGATAAAAGGAATTAGTTAATGTCTCTGTGTGTTGTTTTTAGGCATTTAAAAATATTCTGTTGTTTATAATCAAAGATGGCACAAGTACAGGCGAGCTCTCCAACTCTTGTCTGTACACATAGTTTACAGTACGTTTGTTATGGTTTGTTGTTTGGGGAGATTTAGGTGCTGTGGCTTTCACCACTTGAGTGAAGTGGAGGTGAGGTTGCTGTGAGTGGCCCTGGGCCATCCGGCATGTCAGACACACTTCCTGACATTGAAACATAGATACAAATTGTAGATAACCAAGAGCATGACTCATCTTGGTAGAGTGCAGCCGTGCTGGGAAGCGAGCAATAAATTTTTATTAGTAATAAAAAAAAAAGCAGTTTTGGCATGACATAAGTGGAACAGAAATCATCTGTGGATGATTTACTTCTGTTAGATCATTCTGATGATTTTGAACAGAATCCAGTAAACTAAAATTCAAAGCACAGTAGGTGTACACAGAGGGTGCTACGTATACTGTAAGCTGTGGTAGAGGGAGTTGAGTTTTCACTAAGAATAACAGTTTGTATCATGGGAGGATCTTTACCTTAATAAAATGTATATAAGTGTGTAAAATGCCTTGAGGCAACTGTTGCTGTGATTTGGTGCTATATAAATAAAAGTGAAATGCCTTAAGAGGACACTGGATATTTAAAGTTCAAAAGCAAGAGTGTTTGACACTATGTTTTCTATACATTATAACATATTTAGTGCCGTTAGCCTGTGCTGAGGTCTCATGAACCTGCTGGGAAGCTCATATTTTATTACACAAGTGTGTGTCCTGTCCTTCTTTTCCCCCCTGACCCCCAAACCGGATGGAGCAGATAGTAAAATGGGAGTTTCCCTTCCCACTGTTACCAAATTCATGCTCATAAGGAATTGTTTGATGACTGGGATTTTCCCTGTAATATTTTGGAGTCTTGACCTTAGAATATAAAGCGCCTTGAGGTGCTTCTGCAACTGATTTGAATTGAATTGCATGTAAAAATCAAACGTATCATACAATTCACATGCATTTTACATGCAATCATAATAATTTCTCCTCATATCTAAATGTAAACTTACATGAAGTGATTGAACAGAGTAGATATTCCTGGTTTTATTTTGTTTACGCTGCATAATTAAATATATTGTTGTATGCTGTGTGTGTTATGGGCTCACACAGAGCAACAAACAGTTATGGCCACATTTATGTCAATGGTTAATTTAGATGTCTTTGGACTGTGGGAGGAAGCTGGAGTACAGTGAGTATGCTGACACAGGAACAACATGCAAAATCTGCCCAATATATTCTGGATATTCATTTATTATTTTTATGTTGGGCCAATAAGCTCATTATTTTATTTAAACCCAAAGTTGCATATTTAATCTTTTTGGCTCCATGACAGATAGATAGATAGATAAAACCCTCAGAGGAAGTGCATAACATGAAGAACTTGAAGGGTGGTTGTTTGGCACTGATCGACATCCTTTACCTGTACCAACTATGCACGATTGTCATTGTTCTACATAACTATGGCTTTATAAACACAGTGTCCTCTGCGATGAAATAGCTGAGTGTTCCAAAAATAACTGAAAATGCTTTGGTTATTTTCAGAGGTGGTCAGTTCACTGTAAAAAATAGTGCTGTTGTTGGTTTGCAAGGAATAAAGAATGTGTTGTGTAAAGGAAGCGGTTGTGCGTATTTAAAGATTTGTGTCATCATTAAAATGTTTTAAAAACCCTTGAATTGAGATGATGAAAGCAAGTTGTCACTTAGAATATGTGCAGTCATTTATTTAAATACTGTATATTCAAGGTAGATGCATAGTTGTAATTCATGCATGTGCATTAAATGGTACATATTAGTCATTCTTCATGATGATAACATGCTTGCATGAGAAGTAATTCAGCTGCTGTTGAAAAAGGTTACAAACCTGGAAGGAATAAACCTTACAAAATATATAGAAGACACCTGAAAAGGATTTTGACTGATAAAATACTGCATGTATTCAGACCTTGATGCATCACTTACTTCAGGCCAGGACCATAAAACCAAGAGCAAAAAAACCCCAAAACAGAACAAAAAGAAAAAACACAACAAAAATTCTTCGAATTTCATGGAAATGGCAGTGCTGATGATTTTTGGTCTCGGTGACCGGACATAGCACACCCAGCCTGGGGTCAAAATACAGATAATGACGGTGCCTACAGGACATTCTTGCTCTAAATTGCTACCTGAGGAAAAAAGCCAGAGGCGTGCCAAATCCCTAAAGAAAGTGGAGTGTATGAGAAGGACTCACCACACACACAAGTGCTGCCTTGAAATAGCAAACAGTCTGTGGAGATGACGCCCCGTTTGTTCTCTGTCAAAATTACACATGTACTGTGAAAGCAGAGGAAATATCCTCCCCATGTTTTATTGTATTTTATTAGTTCAATGTTCAGGCCTGTGGTACTGAAAGCAAATTAAGTTTTCTTGTTTTGGTTTTTTTAAGCATGCACCTTCATCCATTTCAATATCTCTCATTAGGCTCGCATCGAAGAGCTGGAGGAGGAGCTGGAAGCAGAGCGGACCATGAGAGCCAAGGTACTGTATATCCACACACTTATGAGGAACTGTGTGGCTTCGCTCTTTAGTGCACATGAAACAAAGAGCAGTTAAATCTGTCTGTCCTTCTGTGGGGTAGATAAGAGGAAACCAGATAACTTGGTTCAGCTCTAATGTTCAGCCCTGTGGTGCTTAGAGCAGTTTAAAGATTGAAGGGGACGGAAAATGAAGAAGAACAGACGAAAACAGTGCTGACGTGCTGGCAGCTGGTGGGGTACATGTGCTGGTGCTGTGCCTCTGGTCACCCCAAACTATCTGCACCTGTGATAATAAAAGGGGGTTGAAGAGACCTTGTGTTTCTGATTAACATAGAGGGAACCCAGAGGCGTGGAGGGAGCCCCAACGTCCTTTTTCCTTTTTCTTACTTTCCCAGATCGTTCTCTGTCTTCACACACCCATATCAGTGCACCTTCTGTAAGCCCTTTGCCTTGCTCCTTCAAGTGGAAGAATAGGGCATTTTTCCCATCCATCTTACATTTGACTGCAATAAAGTTTTTCAAAGGAGCATGTCTTTGTCATAAAAAGCTGATACCAAGGTGGCTTTTTAAGTGCTTGCTGTTTCAAACAAGGACTTATAGTATGTGTGTGCTAGCATGACAGAGCCCACTTAAGAGCGTACTGTAGTTACAATAGGAAAAGGCAGAAATGCAAAGGCATATATTTCACTCCAAGTGGTAAATAGAGTGACAGCTGGCCTGAGGGTGTGTTTTTCCCCCACTCTGGGTGGTATTCTTAATGGTGCTAGCTGAGACCCCTTCAGCCTCTGAAGCTGCAGAGCAGCGAAGAGGCAGGCAGAGACATGCAAGGTCTTTATCTGTTCCTCCGTCTTCAGAGCAGCTCAAATACAGCATACCTTTGCTGCAGACAGGTTCGCTATTGTTAGGCTCTGCTCCTCGGGTCGCACTGGGGAGATAGAATTATGAGATAGAGGCTGACAGACAGCACTGTTTTTTCTAGGATCCTCTCCCATCTGGAATGCCATGCGGTTTTACACACACACGCTCACACACACACACACGCTCACACACACACGCTCACACACACTATATAATTGTAAAGTAGCATGTTCTCACACACCCAGGAACACACATAGCATGCATAGCATTCAGTCAGTACACAAACACTTTATCTTTAAACTGGAAATCACACATTCTCCATAGAAACATGAACAACAAAAATTAACTTAAAAGTCAGGTGACTACATAAAATATGAAAGGGGTTATTTATATAAGCTCTCGGTTATTATCCAGTTTAAGCTTAAGGGTTGTCAAATTGTTTAGCTCCTTTGCTTTTTATCTTGGGTTTACTAAGTGAATCCTTATAGTTTTGATGCAGTCAGGAATTAAAACAGATAAGTATGACCTCACAATTATCTTGCCAAAGACGCAACTTTAAATTGTTTTTCACTGTTTTTGCTTGTGACAGATGCCCAAAGTAGCCAATTCATGGAAACCAAAGAGCTACCAATGTCTTGATAGCTAATATTGCTAATTTATTAGCAATTAAAGTCAAATTTATTCAGTATAATTTTTTTAATATCTGATGCAGATGATGTCCTAATGTGAAAAGTAAAGCTGCTTCACGATTTAGGAGCAACAAGCTGCAAATGGCACTTGATGCTATGCTTAAAACCCCCAACATTGCCATTCTTTACTAAGTGTAATATTCTGCTCTGGGTACTCGCTAACATTTTTATGAGATTAGATCTGATCAGATCAGAGCCAAAATAATAAATTTGCTTGGTTCTTGTCCCAGATGTTCCCTCGCCCCAGCAGATATTGTGCCTCACCCTATCCATAACATCATCCTCTATCACACCAAACCTCTGCATATCCTCCTTCACTATATCCATATATCCTTTGGCCAGTATACCCACAATCCCACTCTGCACATCTAAAAACAACCTCAACCTTGTCTCCCTTAACTTTGTCTCCAAACTGCTCAACCTGAGCTGTTCTTCTGACCTACTCATTTCTCATCTTGTTCACTCTTAATGAAATTCTGAACATCTTCAGCTCTGCCTAGCCTCACCCTCTCCAAACATGTCAAACTGTCCATCATAATTGGAACCAAGAAGGAGCTCACCAGTTCTTTGATATAATCTTACCTCCATCTTTCACTCCTACCATACATATGTCCTGCACCACCCTAACATACTTCTGTTGCCATGCAGTCTCACAGCTCCTCTCTTGGCACCCAATCATATGCTGTCTCAGAATCCACAAAGACACCTTCTCAGTACTTCTCCATGAACACTCTGAAAGCAAGCATCACACCTGTAGTGCTCTTTCTGGGCATGAAGCCATACTTCTGCTCACTGATAGCCACACCTCTATTTAATCTAGGTTCAATGACTCTTTCCCATGGCTTCATGGTATTTCTCATCAATTCTATCCCTCTGTAGTGACTCCAGCTCTGAACATTACCCTTGTTCTTGACAGACTGGACTGGATGGCTTTCCCTGAGATTTAAAAATTTTATTAATGGCATTTACATATTTGCTGCATAGTGAATGTACTTATACAAGCTTCTGGACAGTCAATAGCTATTGTTTCCTCTTTTTGGGATAGCACATAATACTGCTGCCATATAACAAAAAGCTTTGTGGTGGCAGATTAGAGATCACGAAGGCAAAAGTTTCACATAAACATTTTTAAAAGGCAATTTTTCTACCCTTCAGTTTCAATCAAATCCCAACATTGAACATTGCTGACCTTTCTGCATGGATTTTGGATGGATTGTGTACACCAACCATTGAATTACTTGAAATACCGGACACGTGAACTACAGCCCTGAACTTTTCGAGACATTAGCCAACAGATGGGTGTGTGAAAATTAAGATCTCTCTCACTTTCTGATTGCACATTGGCCAGCTGTCTTGTACATGTGATATCCAATAGGTGAACAAGTAGACATCACGTGACTGAAATCAAGCAAAGTGGACCGAATGTTACATCTCTGAGAAAAAAACAAGTCATGCTAAACTGTCACTAGCAGGACTTCCATTGAAATTATCTCATTTTTGTGTTAAATTGGTCCCTGCTTGTAACTTACAGAAGATGATGGACATGTTGTATTGTATAAAGACTAACTTTGGAGAAAGCATTTGGCTCTTTCAATATATACTTACTTACTATACCATATATACTTCTCTAATATAGAAAAAGAGACGTATACAAACCTGTATCTTTTTGGACAATAAGATTAAAACCATTGAAGTAAACATACATTTAGTTTTGTTTCAGGATAGAACATCTCACCAGTCAGGGGTTTAGTTTTTGGAGACTGAGTAAATGAACACTAGAAATCACTTATGCAAACACAAATTGGCTGACTGCACAGAGACACACTCCTACTCCTTCATGCTCTTGTGCAAATGAAGATAAATCTCCTATCTCTAACAGAAGGGCACTTTAGGAGCACTGACCTTCCATTCCACCTCCGCACAGTGTTAACCCTCGACACAGAGCCAGCGTGTGGACACAAAGGGCTGGGTTCAGGTGTGAGCTGTTTTTTGAAGATTTAGCTGGAGGAGTAGGGGGTGGAAGAGGAGGCCCCCAGTGAGAGTCATCTATTTTCTGGCTGAAGTGTGCTGACGGCCGTGCCTCATTGCTTCCATCAGGGGCCCCCAAGACTCCGGCTTTTGTGGATCAGTCTCAACATCTACGGCTGTCGTTAAACTGGCTGTAAAACACGTGTATAAAAAAATAAGTGTTTTTAATTACAGAGCACCAGTTGTTGTTTGGGCATATAATGGACCAGTATAATAAACTCATTCCATGTGTGCTGTTCCATGTTTGAGCATGAGATGAGGGTATGTACTGTCAAGTTTTATTACACTGTGTATAAACTGATATATAATCAGTTTTCTTCTACTAGTGGAGCCGGGATTTTGTTTGTAGAAGGTAATCATAGTTAATGATCTTATGTGTCTCATAATGTCAGAACATATCTATTCTTAGTACTTTATTTATATTATATCAAAAGCGTTACCAGAAATCTAGAAAAAGTTTGGGTATATATGCTGATACTGCTTCAGTAAGCCACTTAAGTTTTAGGACTTTTTGGTAGTTGTCAATCCATCCATCTTCTGTTTATCTAGTGCTGGGGGCTGCTACCCAAGTAGATAAGCCAAAACTTCCCTGTCCTTAGCCACCATCTTTAGCTTATCCAGGGGGAACCAAGGTATTCCCACGCCAGCCAAGAGATGTAATCTCTCCAGCGTATCCTGGGTTTGCCCTGAGGCCTTCGCCTGGTGGGTGATGCCTGAACCACCTCAGATAGCTTCTTTCTACTCAGAGCCCCTCTGAATACAGTAACTGAAATCCTCACCCTGTCTGTAAGAGAGACACCAGCCACCTGTCAGAGAAAGCTAATTTCTGGTGCAGGTATCCACAATCTCTAAATCAACAGCTTCACTTTTACGCTCGTCCACATCACTGCAGCTGTGGCCCCAATCCGTCTGTCAGTCTCCCGCTCGCTCTTAAACAACGACCTGAGATACTTGAACTCCATCACTTGGAGCAGCAATTTGTCCCTGACCCAGAGAGGACGCTACAACCTTTTCCAGCTGAGGACAGAGGCCTCAGACATAGAGATGCAGATTCTCATTCATTTCATTAAGTCCTTCAGTTTTCAGTAGATATAATGAGAAAGGAGTCACTGGTAGTGAAAGGAGTCACTGGGAGGTAACTGTAGAGTTTCTCTGGTTTGAATCCTTTAGCTTCCTTTTGCCCATTATTGTTGCTTTATTACTGATGAGTGGTTCAAACCAAAACATAGTAAGAAGAAGGATGAATCAAAATGAGGTAAAGAGCCAAAGTATGAGAGTATAAAGGGTTTCAGATCCCATAATGATGGACAGATAGCTCACGACACTTTTACCCAGAAATCTTTGCATTATATTGCATAATTTTGTTGTCCGATATCCTTCTTTAACTGTTGTGTTTATGGCAGGTGGAGAAGCAGAGAGCTGATCTCACCAGAGAACTGGATGATCTCACAGATCGCCTTGAAGAAGCAGGAGGAGTCACCGCCTCACAGGTAAACTACCAGCACACAAACACTGTCGAGCTGCACACTTCTGGACTACATAATTTCCCTCATAAATAATCCCAGATTGTACAGCTAGTACATGAAGATTTCCAGGGCACTGCCTGGAAAATCTAACTTAAATTACTTCCTGTGTGTGTCGAACAGATGGAGGTGAACAAGAAGCGAGATGCAGAGCTGCAGCGCCTGAGACGAGACTTGGAGGAGTCCTCTGCCCAGTCTGAAGCTCAGGCTGTGTCTCTGAGGAAGCGGCACAGCGACGCCGTCACAGAGCTCACAGAGCAGTGTGAAGCTCTGCAGAGGACCAGAGCCAAACTGGATAAGGAGAAGCAGAACCTGAGGATGGAGGTGGATGACCTAGCTGCTTCACTGGACAGTTTACAGAAGGCCAAGGTCAGGATCTGAGATCACATGGACCTTATCTGTATTTTGAACAAGACAGCAACGTCACAGACTTTTGTGATGAGCGTGACCTAATGTGCTGTGATGTTACTGTGCCCCAGGCATCCTCTGACAGCCAGATGAAGAAGCTGGAGGAGCAGCTGTCTGAGGCCAACAGGAGAGGAGACGACCTGCAGAGGACGCTCACTGAGATCAGCGTGGCCAAGAACAGACTCACAGGTAAAACAATGTTACACCTGTGGGACATGAGCAATTACAGAAAGTCATTCAGAAATCCCATTGTCCCATCCTGTCAGTGGCTGTGGCTCAGGCGTTAGAGCAGATCAGCTACTCACTGGAAGGTTAGTGGTTCGATCCCAGTCTGCATGCCTAATGACCTTGAGCAAGGTACAAACCCAGTTGCAAGTTTTCTTAATCAGTTTCTTTCTGTCTTACAAGTAGGCAAAGCTTGATGCATATACTTTAAGGTTAAAGTGATCTTCTCCGGGATGTTACATGCAGCCTTAATTCACTAAAACTGGCTCCCAGTAGATTTTGTGCATGTAAAAATAATATATTTTGATGACAACTAGTTAACGATTGACACAAAAGACGGTGGTGGTATGAACTCATATTTCATATTCATATTTTAAGAATAAAAAAGATCCGTTGTTGGGAAAAAAGACCGTCAGTAATTTCTAAAAAATTTTTGAGTAATTCTTTCTTTTATATTTTGCCAACGACAAACCTGACTGACTAAGCCCTCCTGACCACTTGTCCTCAGGAGATTTGGGAAAAGATCTAAAAAGCAAACTATTTAGGCAGAAAACGAATGTGTTGTTGGGATAAGATCAAGTATGCATACGTACATTTTAATTACATTAAGTTTACCAAAGCATGCAGGAAGGAAGGTCAATCAAAATTAGAGCAAATCCCAAATGAGAGTAAAGCACCAAAAAACTGCAGATGTGTCCTCTAATGCAACATGATCACATCTTTCATTTAAGACTCTGAGGACCTTGTCTCCAGGTTTTCTAGTGAAAATGTCTCCAAGAAGTCTCGCAGAGACACTGACATGGTGTCTATTTGACACAGCATTTTATGCTACACCAAGACATTACACAGCTCTTTTTGCATTTCTCCCATGTGAGCTCATAATAATATGAAATATTTTGTTTCAACCACTGAAATAAAATATATATGTAACTTCCTGGAAGACGTGTCTTTGCTTTGCCACCACGTTGCTATTCTATATGAACGTCTTAAACTGCATCTGCCTTTTGTAGCTAAATAATCCCATTGTTTGTGTATGGTGCCTGAATTCTGCTGCATGCTACAGTGCATCATTAACCGGTGCTCCTGTGTGTCCTGTTAGCTGATAATGCCGACGTGAGTCGACAGATGGAGGAGGCAGAGACCAGAGTGAGCCAGCTGACCCGATCCAAGACTCTCCTCCAGTCACAAGTGGAGGAGCTGAAGAAACAGCTTGATGAGGAGGTCAAGGTCTGTGTTTTGAACATAAAGCAAAAACACATACTTTTTGTCTGTTTTGCAGTTTAAAGTAGGCTTATTCAATAGAGTTAGTTACACAAACTTAGTATTTAGAACGTTTCTACTATTATAGCGTGTTCTGTGAATGTGGTTGCCTTTGTGAGGCTATTAGACGGATTGTTTTTGGTAAGATTTGGGAGAGAGTCTGGAGAGGTGGACATGTGCGCTGGAGAGAAAGTCAGAAGAAGCAAGACAGAATCTATGTGCATGGGAATGAGAGCGAGGCAGGTGGGATGCTGGAGACACAAGTGGAGAGGTATTGTAGGTGGATGATTTTAAACACCTCGGGTCAACCATCCAAAGTAACAGGCAAGTGCACCTCTACAAGTGCACAGGAGAGGTGAAGAAGAAACTGCAGACAGGATGAAGCAGGTGGAAATGAGTGTCAAGGTCGATTAATGGACAATCTTCGGATTTAGTCGGTCTGGGGAAAGGTAATGGGGAAGTGTGAGTGTGAGCCTCCTTGTCTAAGAAGAGTATTATGCATGCAATCATAGATGATCAGAATCAGAATCACCTTTATTCGGCTAAGTTTGTGTACACAAACAAGGAATTTGACACTGGTACACTTTACTCTCAGCATATGAAATGTTTCAAATATGCAATTTTAAATATGCAATATATATAGACATACAAATAGTGAGTGTAATCAAGAAGAGACAAAAAGATGGGCAGTACGAGTGAAGACTAACCGACACCTCTATGTCCCAAACGGATGTGTCATTTTATCAAAGCGTTGTACGTTAGTTCAGCTTTTATATTGTGCTTGTTCTCCAAACAGGTTAAAAAACCTTTTAACAACCATGAGTGAAGTGAGTCAGTGTGTTAGCACAGATTTGTGTTACATTTCTGGGCTTTACACTGTGCTCAAAGTGTGTCTCTTCGCTGGTGTTGCCAGTGTAAGCAGGGGGTCAGCAGCACTCTGAGCTCAGTGCGGCAGGACTGCGAGGTGCTGAGGGAGCAGCTGGAGGAGGAGCAGGAGAGCAAGCAGGAGATGCAGCGCCTCGTCTCCAAACTCAACAGTGAGGTGACGCACTGGAGGACCAAACACGAGGCCGACACCATCCAGCACGCAGACGAGCTAGAGGAGACCAAGTACGTAGTGTTGATACTGGCAGCTATCATCTTCATCTGACGAGATGTGATGCCTTGAATTGAGCCTGTGATGTGTCTCAGAAGTCCAAATCATACGTGTGTCACAGGAAGAAGCTGGCAAGCAGGCTTCAGGAGGCTGAGGAGGCCGTGGAGGCCACCCAGGCAAAATGTTCCTCACTGGAGAAAACCAAGCAGAGGCTGCAGGGAGAGGTGGAAGAGCTCTGTATGGACCTGGAGAAGGTAGACAGAGCGGCTCGTTATATACTCATTTATTTGATGCCTTGCCATAAAGCTTTGGCGTTATAGCAGTGTATGGTCCCTGCCTTAGGCCAGCAGCTGTGGGCAGGCTCTGGATAAGAAGCAGAGGGTCCTGGAAAAGCAGCTTGGAGACTGGAAAGAGAAGTGTGAGGAGCTGGTGGCCGAGGTAGAGGGCTGCCAGAAGGAGAGCAGGCAACATGCCAGCGAGCTCTTCAAACTCAAGACGGCTCATGAAGAGACTCTGGAGCAGCTAGAAGCTCTGCGCAGGGAGAACAAGGCCTACCAGGGTATGACGGCGCACATGTGAGGGCTGAATGAACATACAGCTGCCTGTCTTGGATTGCCTCATATGCAACTTCTTCTTTGTCCCACAGAGGAGGTAGCAGACCTGACAGAGCAGCTGTCC